GGGGGGTGGAGCTGGGAGATGGAAGGGGGTGGGGGTAACAGGAACCAGTCAGCCGGGGAAAGGAACGACCTGAGCTCTGGCACCCATCCTAAGACCAGAGGGAGCACCTTCGAAAGAGCTGAAATCACGGCAGAGGGCAGGGATGTAGGATGGGTGTCAGACCTGCCTCACACTATGGAAGGTAGCAGGCATAATTCAGTCTGCCATAGGTGAAGAACCATGGAATCACTGCCTGGTACTTATGTTCTTAATCCTGTCCAAGCCATGGTAGAGCCCCAGCTGGGCTCCACTTGTCAGTCACAATATTGGTGCTATTGATATTAGATATTAGTAACTGAATTTATTAGCTTTCCCACAGTGCTCTAGAATTTGAAATTGGTCACTTGGTTCACAAGTTATAGCTCAAATTAGAAAAAGTAGGAAAATGACTTTGGCCATTTGCTGACATCATAAAAAGCTTCAGCTACCAATCAGAATGGGTTTTGTATTAAAATATAATACACAGATGTACACCTTTCAGAAAAACTTAGAGAAGTTTTGCCACCTTACTTGATACTGACATCTGGTCTCGCCCATGAACTAATCATACCATTTTAGGAATTAAAAATCTCAGAAACTCACCTTGGATATATTGATCTCCTTAATAACATATTGTTTGCCATTTTCCTTTGCTTTCACCAGAATTGCTTTACCAAATGATCCTTCACCAATCTTTTGCACCTTAATATACTTGTCCATGGTATTTTCCTAAGGCATCCTTATTAGTAAGCTAAGGAGAAAAAAAGTGCTGTTTAATTGAATAACTGATTAGCCATTTAGTTTCTGCCAGATCTAGTCAAGCAACCCAAGGCATTTTCAAAGGCACTTTTTTTTTTTAATACCATCACCATTTTCCCCCACAGTAGGGTTTTTGAATCTATTAGTGTCCTTATTTCTGGTTCAGCTAAGCTCTATAGCAGTTGGCATCTGTCTTCATTCCACAATTATCATTGTGGAGTTTTCCTCAATTCAGAAATTTGTACCTGCTACATACCAGGAAAATACAAATCAAATCAAAAACTCAAATCACAAAAATATTTCTACTTCCTAAAGAAACACTTTTTCATTTCTCAGTTGTGCAATCTGATCATACATACATTTATTTAAAAGTAGGTCCCCATGAGTTCATTGAAGGACTGGGGAGTTAACTGCTCTATAATGTAGGAAGGAATTTGTCCCATTGACTTCTGTGAGGTCTTCACTTGAGAAGGACTATTTTTTGTCCATAGAATCTTGTGGGTAGCCATGTTAGTCTGTAGTAGCAGCAGAACAAAGTTTGAGTCCAGTGACACCTTTAAGACCAGCAAAGATATTCACCTTGAATAAAACTCTATTAAGTCTTAAAGGTGTCACTGGACTCAAACTTTGTTCTATTTTTGTACACTTACTTGGAATAAGCCTCACTCAACTCTATGGGACCTACTTCCCAGTAAACATGCTTAGAGCTGTTTGCTTAAAATAGTTTCCCCAACTGATTTTGACGGGGAAAACCTGACAGGAGAGACACATGCTATTGGATTAAAATGATTTGGACCCCTTTGAGTGCAGTATTGGCCTGGCTTGGAGACTGAAACTACCTTGGGGCTCTGGTGGAGAATGGTCACCAAGAAATAGATAAGAGGTGTGTAATCGTGACAATTCCTCTTGATCTCTCTGCAGATTTTGGACTACTGTCCCTCGTAGGGACTTGGAAGTTACCCCCTTTGCTGTGGTTCAGCTCTTTCCCAACTGGCGGATATCAGAAGAGTACTCGAAGGGGAAGACCTCTGCTTTGCACCATGGGAATATTGTGGGAATGGGGATGGAGCAGAGTTAGTATCATCAGCATACAGCTGACACCCCTCTGTTTCTCCTTTTGTCTAAACCAGATGGGAACATGAACCCCCAAGAAAGTACTCAAGGGTGGTAAGGAGCTGAGCTGAGTCAGAGGGAACAAATGGGAAAAGCTGACGTTGCAAGATCTGCTTATTCTTTAGGATACATAAAGATCAGTGTTATTGTTTGGCAACAGTCCTGGAATCAGAGCTACTTTATGATCCCTGGTGATGCCTGTAGACTGGGGTTACTACACCAGATGACACACTGTACTGCAAGATGCAATTTTGGCCCATCACATATACCTTAACAGCCTGCGGATTAAGTTCTTATATTGTGAGGTACACAGAGCTACCTAGAAAAGTACTCAGAAATGTCTGTTTCTCCACAAGGTGATTGCCCACTGTCTTGCATTGGTACCTGGAATGTATTTCTCCAGCTCTTAAAAGAACTGCACTGGCCATAAGTTAATTTGCAGGCACAATCAAGCATCCCACCTTTGACCTTGAGTATCCTATATACAGTTTGGGTTTGTCCTACTGTAAGAAGCACCTAAACCCAAAGGGAGAGGAAAAATAGCCAAAACATTTTAATCCCAAAGGCTTTCCAGTTTGGTTACTTTATTAAAAAAAATAAAAACACAATTAAACTGCAATAAAGATGGATTAGTTCAACTGTTCTGCGAGGCACTTTAAGAGCTGCCTTGAATGAAAGGCAGGTATTTAATGAGAGCTTTATTACAACACAATAGAAACAGGAAACACTAAAGTTCTTCTAACACCCCTCCCCCTGTATAAGAATGAGCTACCGAGCTACCACCGCTGAAACTGGGTATTTAAGACACACCAGTACTCTTTACATCTTTTTATCCACTTTTAAAGATTATGGAAAAATGAAAACTGGTTGCTAGGTTTCTTTAGGAATCTTAAACCCGTTACTTTAACCGGGTCCTCCAAGCCGTGGCAGCAATTCCACACTAAATAATTCGCGTTTTTTTTAAAAAAAACTACGTATGAACATTCAATTGGAAACCTTATCATTGGATAACGTCAAGAGAGAAAAAGTAGGGATGGGAGGCGACCTCTTACGCGCAGTACCCCACACAGTTAAGGAAGAGGCTTTCTCCTCTCGACTCGAGGCTACCACTGCGGTCTCGGCCTTGACACACCCCTCCCCTGCAACACCGGCAAAGGCAACAAGGTACAACGCGAGATAAATTACTAGGCGCGAGACCCACGAAAGCAACAGCAGCCAAGTCCTGGAAGCAGACAAGACAGAACCGCTTCCTGTTTAAGGAGTCCAACTAAGGAACCGTCAAGTCTTTCCGCGCGTCCCCTTCCCTTTCCCGGAGGAGCAGCTTGTCAATCCCTTCCACCCAACCCCATTACCGTTCTCCCCCTCACCCTTTTCCAGCCGCTTCAACCTAGCCCAAACTACAGCCCCACCCCTTCCGCGCCGCTATAGGCTGGCGAGTTAAACGTTGGGCAGCTATTGGGCAAAAGACGGACCGGAAGTTCGGATGCACCACACAGGGTGTGTTGTACCGATTGCTTACAGGTTCCCCCTGGCAACCCGCGGGAGAAAGACCACGTGACCAACGTGTACGGAATAACGAGGCAGGCACGGAGGGCGGGACGTGGCATTCCGGAGTAAGCGATAGAATGTGTGTGGTTATGCGTGACAGCGCTATGCCTTCTCTCTAGTGTGGTCTCCACATGCAGCGGGAGGAGGGGTCAGAGTGGACTGCACCACTTTAGATTGCAGGGAGAGGGGCTGCATGTTCCAAAATCTTCATAAGTAACCTCTTCGCTGTGAACTGAGAACTAGCAGACAATGCAGAGAGTTTGACTGGGGCTTTTCAGTGTGATATGCTTATTTGTTGCTGTATATAGAGAGTTTTACGTGGGGAAGTGTAAATAAATAAAATGTTAAAAAAGGAAGCCACAGTTGGGAGACGAGGCACGAGGAACGTAGTTTGCCCTTGGCAACTCAGGGGCGCCCGGCGGAGGCGGCAAGAGGCTTTTGCCGGGGAACCCGCGGGCGGGCTCTTTCTGCCCTTCTGGAGGCAAAACCACTTCTCGCGCCTCGTCTCCCAGCGGCAACTCAGGGGCGCCCGGTGGTGGAGGCGGCAGGAGGCCGCGGAAGCTTTCGCCCGGGAACCCGTGGGGGGCGTGGCACGCGGGGGCCGTGGCTCTTTAAAGACCGCCTCTCCCACCCTTCTGGAGGCAAAACCCACTCCTCGCGCCTCGTCTTCCCGGGGTGCGTCTCGCTCCACCTCGAGCAGAGAATGGCCGTCGGGCGACAACCTACCAAATTCCACCAGGGAGAGGGAGGGGAAGAAAGCAAGCAAGAGAGGGACTCGGATCCAGGACTCGAGCGGCGGAGCCAGAGGCACCGATCAATCACACACATGCGCACACGGAGTGCCGAGCTCGCGCCGGCCTTCCCCGGCAGAAGCCGAGGCTCGAGAGGCGGGAAATGGGAAGAAGACAGCCGCCGACGCCGCGGAAAAGAGCCCGGATGACCCACAGTTCTGACGATCACGCTCCCTCACAAACAAACGTAAACCACTCCCCGGTTTAGATCGCTGGCGCCGGCGGCCGTTGGAGCCAACGGCTCGGGTGCACAGCTCCCTCGGTTCACACACTGACGTCGCCAACCCACCGAACAATAACAACGACTGCTGCCGTTCCTGCCCTACGCCGGTCGAGCCGGAGACAGAACCCATAGCGAAGAATGGCGTTCCGGGTTAGCAGGTTAAAAAAACACCCACACATATGAATATAGGCACATTTCCTCCGAAATCCAGTCCTGGCGGGGGGGAGGGAACCCGCAAAACTCGCCGGGGGGCCGGGCCCCGAGGGCCCCACGCAGGCTACGGGCCTTGAATGGGCGTTCTGTGGCTCGCTAGGAATGTGGGGTGCGAAATCTCCGCTGTCCTTTCCAGTGCGGCTGCGTGCGTGGTGTGTGGCGTTGACGCCACTCGCACCTCGCCGAGTAGGGCGGGGCAACGCACCTTAGTGCTGCTGGGTGACCGCCGCTTGGGGGTGGACGGGCAGGATGGGTGGATGACGGCGGGGGATTGTGCGGCTGTCTCCCCGTCTTCCTTCTCGGCTCCTCCCCTCCCGCAGGGACCAGGCCTCTCCGCCCGGCTCAGCGACAGGAGGATGTGTGAGCACCTCTCCGGGGGTCACCAGGCGGCGCCACACGGCCAGGTAGGGCGGATTTCGGCAGAGCGCCGGACTCTGGGCCGGGACAGTGGGGGAGTCATGGGCGGCGATGCCTCGCGCGGGGGGGGGAGGGCGGTGGCGAAGAAAAAAGAGGGGCTCCTCCGTGTGGCTGGGAAAACAGATTGTGGCCTGACGCAGACGCTTGCTGAGACGGGAAGGCGGCGTAGGGTTGAGGCGGTTCTATGGGCTTTCATTGGCGGGGAGAGGGAAAGAAGGAGGCTGGGTGAGACTGCCCTCGTGGATGAGTTGCTTGTTGAGATGCTCATTGCCTCTGCCTGGCTTTGGTGTGGGGCTTGGTTAGCCGGCCTGTCTTCTGCCCGGGATCGACTCACCAAACGCACAGCATCTCTCTGTGTGTGCTCCCGTGTTTCCACCTCACTAATCTGGACCCTTGCTGTGTGCCTCCCCCTTCTCCTTTCCACCCCTTTCCAAAACCAACAGGAAAGGTTTTGCGGTATCTTGCTGGCGGCTGTCATCAGTGGTAAAGGTTTCCATGTTGAATGATTCTGCCCATGCAGCCTTCCACAGAGACTGGAGGCAGTTTCTAAATCCAAGATCATCATCATTTCTAGCCTGTTTTGGGAGAGAAATAGTTCGTAAACGGCTGAAGATCTGTGGCTTGTGTTTTCTGGAGGATTCTAAAACTGGTTCCTCTCATTGGAAGGCTCTATTAAGAACGCACTTTTCTTAAAGTCTTGATGTAGTCCTCTGTCTTCTAGTGGTAGGATAAGGGAAGAAAGGCTGTTGATAGTAATAGCACTGTGATACCCTTGAACTGTCTAGCAAGATGTCAGTGCTGTTTTTTTGTACCATAAATCTAGTTGTAGAAAAGATGCACAGCCCTTTCAGTGTTTGATGATTCAGCAGGTGTGAGTGACTGACACTTGCTGACTTCAGTGCTTAGGGATGTCTATTAGTCTTTGAAGTTCTGCAACCATAGTGAGGGATAGATATGAAGTAAATGTTTTGGACAAGTTAGGGAAGGGGGACTTATTTCACACTGAGCTTTGTAGTAGAGAGTAGCTTCCCAATCTGATTTGGAGACATCAAAGCTTGGAAATTTTTGGATTTTTTCCTGTTATTTTCGAAGGACTTTTTCCTCCCAGTTTTTTCATAGAAATATTTTTCTTTTGGAGTAAGTGAAATGCTTTGAGACAAGGTTTTATTTACTCTAACTATGATTACCTTTATGTAAGGTAGTCTATAGCATTAGCTAATGGTAAGTAGGGGAACTCCCTCCACCACTTTTGTCTTTTAAACATCTTTTATCCCTATTAATAATTCCTTGTATTGCATATTCTGCCCTTAGGCATTTCTAAGATTCTTCCATAATGATACAGCTGTAGTTTTTAAGAATCATATGATTACAGAGCATGAGTTGAGCTTACACAGAAATAGAATAGCTGGCTTTCACTTAAAGATTTAAGAACTGAGAGATTGAAAGCACTATAAAGTATGGCTGCTGAATTCAGTGTATTTCCAGTGAGACAGGCATAATATAAGGTAAAACAACCCTTTTTTACTTTGATATAAAACACTGAAATAATAAAGATAGGCTACGTTTTAATTGGTATGCCGTTCTCTTGAGTTCATAAAGTACTCTGTAACCTAAATCTACTCTAACTTTTTATGGATAAAGAAATAAGTATAGGAAAATAGAGAAACTTTTATGGATAGAGAAAATGTATACATAGAATTACTTGACTTAATATTTAGATTGTATGTTTTCTTCACTAAAATAAAAGTTTTAAGCTGCTGTAAACTATGTTCTCAGACAAGAAGGGCTTTTATCATATACGTAATTCTGGACTTGAACTCTGAACCAGTGTGTGGATAAAAAAAATTGCACAATGGAGTCACGTACCTATGAAACAGCTGTGACAGTGGCAAATAAATGCTGCTACTGTGCTACTATAGCACCAGCTAGCTCACAACCAATCCAGTTGTTCAAGGTAGCCAGCAACTGTTGCCACCAATATCTGAGCCTTTATTGCCTTAAAGTAAAGGTAAAGGTTCCCTTTCTCGAAAGCCAGTCGAATCCAACTCTAGGGTTGCGGTGCTCATCTCTGTTTCAAAGCCAAAGAGCCAGCGCTGTTCAAAGACATTTCCGTGGTCATGTGGCCGGCATGACTAAACTCCAAGGCGCACGGAACGCTGTTACCTTCCCACCGAGGTGGTACCTATTTATCTACTTGCAATTTCTTGCTTTCGAACTGCTAGGTTGGCAGGAGCTGGAACTAGAGATGGGAGCTCACTCCATCATGCGGCACCCGGATCTCGAACTGCTGAACTACTGACCTTCCACAGCCTGCAGTTCAGCATCTTAACCACTTGAGCCACCGCAGCTCCTGCCTTTATTGCCTTAGGAAGAGATAATTAGCAGTGATACATTTGCCAACTTTTTAATGATAAAATATTGAGAACACACTCTGATCTGGATGTCAGCTATAACATAGGTATACAAGAAGACAGGACTAATAACACAGCCTGGTCCCAATGGCTGCTGTGATGATTGACTACCCTGAAAAGACAGAGGTAATTGGAAAGGTGGAGATCTTAAATGACATTGTACTCCCTACTTTTGATGGAATTAGCTGACCCATGCTGACTTGGTTAAGAACCTTGAAGTTATACTGGCCCCAATGTTGTTACTGGAGGAGCAAGTAAATGCAGCTGCGAAAAAGGCTTTCTTCCAACTTAGTTTAACCTGAAAGATGGTATCTTGCCTTGATATGGTTGATCTGGCTACCTTGATCTACACCACAGTGACATCCAGACTAGACTACTATAATGCACTGTACATTGGTCTCCCTTCAAAGTCAATTCGGAAACTCCAGTTGATGCAGAATGCCATGGCTTAGCTATTATCCAGAGCTAGATAGAGCATGCCTATTAATCCCATCCTGCAGGCACATCACTGGCTGCCCATCAGTTATCGGGCTCAATTTAAGGTATTAGCTATCACATACAAAGTCCTTCATGGCCTTATACCCTCATGTCTGCAAGACCACCCCTCCCTTTATGTTCTGCATGTCAGCTTCACTCATTAGAGCAGGGTCTTCTGCAGGTGCCAGCCAGCAAATATGCAAAATCAACAAGTGTCTGTATCCATGCCTTCTTAGTTGTGGCCCCCACTTTAGAGAATGGTCTGCCTGAGGAGGTCAGGAAGGCTCCCACTCTCCTGGCTTTCCTCAAACTACACAAAACTGAATTATTCAAGAGGGCTTTTCTACGGAGGCAATAGAATTGCAAGGTACTAAGTGTTTCACAAAGTTACATGGATAAATTATTAGGGACTGTGGTCTATACTACTGTGCATAGCTTACTGGAACTAGGATCCTACTATGTAATTATGGCATCATTTAATGTGTCATGTTAATACTTATGCTTTCCTTCAGTTCTGTTTTTAGACTTCTGGTTGGTTTGACAGCCCTAATTTCTATTGCATCGTCCATTCAGTGTCCCATCCTGTTGATTGTATTGACTCACTGTGTTATAATCCACCTTGAGTCCAAGTGAGAAAGGTGGGCTGTGAATAATGTAAATAAATAAATAAATGTAGGAATGGGGAGACATTTCTACAAATCTGGGGAAACCTCCAATTTCCCAGAAAATATGAAAACTGGGGGGTAAATTGGTGTGGCTTACAACACTGAAAGCGAGGAACCCGAAGATCGGCATTAAGATTCAGCACCCGCGGCATCCATTACCCCCGGAGAGGGCACTACCATTGCCCCTCATGAGCAAGCGGCAAGGGTGTCTCTCCTGCCCTGTGCTGTTCTTAATTGCTTGGGCTAGCCTTGTACCTTCTTCGCAGTAGTGCTGCTGTTATCCTCCATTTTTGGCCTCTGGCTGATGGTCAGGAGCAGCAGCAGCATCTGCCTCAACTGCTGGGGAGGGAGAGGGTGAGTGCACATGTGAATAGGCAACTGCTGGGGCATGTGTCTGCCATCAACAAGATGGAGTGGGCACATAGGCTACTGGTGGGAAGGACTACCAGAAGACATTTTACTGAAGAGCCCCTTTGTGCTTTGAACCAGTGGACAGTCCCTTCCCCGCTTCTAACTCTGTAGTGGACCCCATAAACAGTAAGGGGAGGATTATATCTTCCCCAGGGCAATGCATGCAGAGGTGTTTTCTGTTTGCACATATGTTTGTAGTGGATCCATCCTCTGAATGTGTGTGGTGTGTTTTGTCTTTTGCAGTATAACAGTGATGCTGTATACTGGTAAGAATAAGCAGCTCATCATATCTTTCTGTAGTTGCAGTGCTGGGAAACAGCAAATCAGATTAAATTGGCCAAGGTGCAGAATGAGTATTGGGGGAGGGAGGTATAGTGGATAAATCACTCTTTTATGCTCCCACCTCTTTCATGTCTTCCATATCTCCTTTCGTCTTCCTATTCCACCTAGAGAGCTCCTTTCATAGAAAACTTTCTGCAGCTCTGCTTTGTCGGCCTCACATATGAATGAGAAAGCTTTGAACTTGGAGCACTGCCTTTATCTGAGTAAACTGATAATTTCTTCATCCACAGTCTTTGTTCCTTTAGGCAGTTGGAGGGCTCCCTAGGTGCATTTCATCATTGGCCCTTCATTGTGAATTTGGTCTTAGCTCTATAGAAGTATGTGCTTTTAATTTTTGGTTTCATCTTTTTTTTGAGGCCCCTGAGGGTAGCTTGGTAAGCCTATTCCTCAAGGATGCTTACAAGGCTCCCTGGCTCCAGCTTTTTGAACAGAAGTTATCTCTTGTAAATCTTAAGGTAGAGGATCTTTTTTCTTCCTCCATAAATCAATGAAAAAACATGTGGCCAAACTGATTTATGCCAGAGATAAGAGCTATTCCCATATTGATGCTCAGAGGACATGTTCTCCGTTTGCCTTGGGCCTTCCGTCTAAGGATAAACTCCCTTCTTATTTAGACTCCTTGGTGGACCTTTATGCATTCATGATTCAGCTGCCCCTTTGCAATGGTATTGCTGGGTCGTCTGCTAAGGATCCCTTTTTCAGATCGGTTATGTCCCTGCCCTCTCCGGTCAGTGGACTCTCTTGTACATATTCTCCTGCAGTGTCCTTCCATGCTCCAGTTTAGGCTAAAATGGATTATGCCATGCCTTGATAAATGGACTATGTTTCCTCTAGCGACATTAGAGCAAAAGGTTCAATCCCTTTTAGAGGATTCTGATTCCATACGTACTTATTTTGTTGCTCAATTGCTAGAGGCTGCAGAGAAGAGTTGAAGGGAGGTGTTTTTAGATGTGGCTGTTATTTAAGTTTTTCAGTTATGTTGTTCAAGACCTTGGTCTAAGAACAGGGGATGAAAGTAAGTAAGTAAATTTCTTCATCCCATCTAAATGTAATGTTTCCCTAAAGTACATTTCTTAAAGAGAGGGTGGTAGTATAGACTTAAGTGTCCTGTAGGAGAGAAACAGTTTTGTAGTTCTCCCTCTCCTTTTGCTGGTGCTAAAGATTGGGCTAAAAACTCTAAGAAGGAACTGAGTTTTCAGAATCTCTGAATGTAAAGATATATCTGGAGGAGCTGCTGTTGTTGAATAAGTTAGTGGACGATACTTACACATCTGTGAGGACTTCTTCCTAATGAAGGGAACTTTCTTATCCTTTCAGTAAATTTTGAATTCTGTTTTTGTGTATTTGGTACTGTCTAACACTGAATATTTTCTTAGGTTATAAAAACAGCTAAATGGAGTCAGAGCAGCTGTTCCATAGAGGATACTACCGAAATAGCTACAATAGCATAACTAGTGCAAGCAGTGATGAGGAACTTCTAGATGGAGCTGGGGTCATCATGGACTTTCAGACCTCCGAAGATGACAATTTGTTAGATGGTGATGCATCTGTTGGTAAGTCAGTAAATCCCTGTTTTGTGATATACAGTGATGTTATGTGCATCCTGGAAGACTGGGCTTCGCGAATGTATGGGTGATGTGTATTGTTAGTGTTATATTGTGGATAAACAGATTTATCAGTTGAAATGCAATATAAAATGATAATACAGCAGGCACTTGTAATAAACTAAAGAATTATACACTGTACTAATTGAGGAGGTTCTTAATTGAAAATCTTTCAGTGCTATTTCTTGTTTCATTGTAGTACTAGGAAAAAGGTACGTTGTGGAAATAAATACAACGGCCTCTAGAAAGAGGCTCTGGGCGGGTGCCCCGGCCTTGGACACTCAGTGTCAATTTGCTGTGGCGACTCTCAGCAGTGTATAATGACACTGAGTCCACCATTTTCTCCAGAGGAACTGATCTCTGCTACCTAAAGAACAGTTGTAATTTTGAGTGATCTCCAGCCCTCACCTGGACATTGGCAACGATGGTTCCCCAGAAGGGAATGGTTGGTTTGGAGGGTGGAGTCTATGGCTTTGTACCTGTCCGAGGTCCCATGCCTCCTGAAACATCACTCTCTCCAGGCTCCATCCCTCACATCTCCAGGAATTTCCCACCTGGAGTTGGCAACCCTATCTCCTTCCTAGCCAATCATCAACCTACCTTTATTTCCCCCTCACTCTTCAGCTTTCCACCCCCCACACACCTGCAGCCTCTCCCGTGCTCTGAAGCCCTGACTGCTATGTCACATTGGCTGTCATACGGGGGCCACCTCAGCAGCATGTAAGGATACAGAGCCCACCATTTTCTCCAGGGGAACTGATCTCTGCCATCTGGAAAGCAGTTGTAATTCTGAGTGATTTCCAGCCCTCACCTGGAGATTGGACACATTTTACCTCAGAACAGCAAACTGTTTCGAATGTTAGAGGCAAAAGCCAATCAAGTCGCATATGCAAACGACCTCTGTGTTCCGAGGCAAAGGCCAATGAGGCTGCATATGCAAATAACCTCTGTGTTCTGACTGGCGATGGGGGGGAGAGGAACAGCAAAATGTTTAGAATGTTGGAGGCAGGACTCAGACAAAGCAGCCAGTGGATAGGGAGACCCTCTGAATGGCAGATCAGAGAGCGAACTGATTTTGGAGCGTGTGGAATGTTCTAGAGAAGTGCCACCACCATTTGGCTTCTATTTATAAGGGAGATTTAAGTAGCCTTTGTGCATTTATTCCTGGTGCAGAGAGGGTAGACAGGGAGAAGCTTTCCCCCCTCTCATCATACTTGAACCCACTGAAGCCACAGCATATCGTTAAATTATGGAACTTGCCGCCACAGGATGTGGTGATGGCTGCCAACATGGAAAGCTTTAAAAGGGGAGTGGACAAATTCATGGAGGACGGGGCTATGAATGACTACTACTCATGATGGATATCTGCTCCCTCCAGTACCAGAGGCAGTATGTCTCTTTATATCAGATGTTGGTGATCATGGCTGGGGGAGTGCTGTTGCAGTCTTCCTGCTTGTGGGCTTTGGCTGCTGTGTGAACGAAATACTGGATGGTCTGCTGCAGCATGGTTCATCTTAGGTTGAATGCTGTATGCAGTTGAACCTCAGCCTTCTGAAAAGCAGTGCCCCCTTCTCCCAGCTGATTTTCTGAACATACTTAAACGAGGCTATATAAAAGGGCTGAGCATCCAGCCACCTGCTGTGTTTTCTGATTTTGGTGCAGTACATACCTGATGTAGGAACTATATTTGAGTCTCTCAGTCTTTTCCAATTCAGGTAGTTTGGGCACTGCAGGTTTTTCTGGTTTCCTCAGGATTTTCCGAACTATCTTGTTAGGGAAAAGAGTTTCTTTAGGTTCTTGTGGCATTGTCAGCATATCTTAGGTCTATCCATGAGTGACAAGAACATTTGAGAACATTTGCGTTGCTATTGTAAGTCAGAGTTCCACCCTTCTGAAACCATTAACTTCAACAGACTTAGGAGGAGTTTACTCTGTTTAGGGTAGTACTGTTGGGAAAAATGAGGAAGATGAGAATGACTTAGGACAAATTTCTACTTGGGCTATTCATAATCCATGGGGAGAAAACATATAATCCCATTGCCTATTAAGAAAAACTGTAAAAACTGTGTGTTAAGTAGCTTAATAAAGTAATTGTGTGAATTGCTTTTATATTTGAAAACACAAAAAAGGGAACTACACTGTTGGGGTAGCTCAAAGAACACCATATTAAGATTAGTTCGAGTAAATAAGATAGAAACATTTATGTACTGAAGAACATATTACAGCCATCTGAGCAATTAATAAATAACTTTACAAACTTGTGAAGAAAAATTATGCCTCAGAAGATTAGGGAGGCACTGTATTTGCCAAACTGTAATATTAGAATTGTTTGGGTCTCTCGGATAAACCATAATTATTTAACATTGAAACTTAATCTCAATCAACCTAATGCTAACTGCTCACTCAGATCATTTTTGTTGTAATTCAGTAATAGGAGTTATCGAAATATGCAAACAGAGGGAAGCGGTTCTATAGGAGAGATACACTATGATGTTGTGCATTCGATTTTGAAGCTTGCCAAGAGCTAGTAGTTCTTTTTTCTAGTGTGGAAAGTCAGTCTGCCTGTCAGATCATAGTCTTCATTATGTGTTTTTTTTAACCACAAAGAATGAAGGATGTACTCAGGTGGCCCATGTCTCAAGCTGCTAGATCCTAATGAGAAATTCACCCCTCCAGCTCTATCCTACTCATTCCCTTTTACAAATAGTTTACTCTCTGCCTGCCATCAGCAGGCCATTATTAGAACTACAGCCTGCAGTTAGACTTTCTGTAAAAACCAAGATGGCCCTCCTTAATTCAGAAAACACAGGGAAACTTTGGAAATTTCACTTAGTAAAGATACTCTCTGATAAACAGGCTTTTCCTGCTTCTGTGTTATACTTTGATAAGCATGAGGCTTTTCCCATGGCTGCAATGACCAAATAACTATGATTTCAGTAAAAGAAGATTTTATCTTAAAGAATAAGCAGAGCGGGTACAAGAAGAAAAAACATACAGTTGAACAGCAAAAGACTACAGCTTCTTCAGTGCTGAAAAATCAAATAGTTATAAATGCTTCTGCAATGGTAAACAGATAGGCAGAAATAATTTATTGGCTCCAGGTTTGTGTGTGTTTCCTTCAGAGTCCCCACAAATTCTCTAGTGGTCCTTTCCGCATTTGCCTGCCATTCTGGATTTTCTCAGTGTCCAAGTTGAGGCAATTTAAGTCCACGGCAAAACAGCATCCAAATAATCCCGGGCAGCAGCATGCTGAAACCGGACTGACCACTGAAGGGAGGTAATGTAATGCAGAATTGGGGGGGGGGCGCAGAATAAAAAGAAGGCTGAACTCGATTTTAGTGCAGAATGGGAAAAAAGAAACTGGAATAAAAAGAAGGTTGAACTCAATTTTAGTGCAGAATGGGGGGGAAACCTGGATTAGAAAGAAGGTTGAATTTGATTTTAGTGCAAAATTGCTTGGAGGGCACTGTGGTGAACACAGATTAAAGGGAGAGTGCAAAAAGGGCCAGTGTCTCTGCATGTCTCAAGTTAAGTATGTTGGCTCTCTAAAGCATGTCTTCCCCTGCCTAAGAATGGCTACCTCTCTCCAAGAATGGGTGCTTCTACTCACAAATTCATGAAACTACTCCCACTGTAAATTCAAAGGAAAAGACTAGAACCTTGTTTTCACTTTGAGGGTGAAGGGTTCCCATTGCATACTTTCACAAAACCCACTCCCCTGTCTCTCTGGCTACCATCATTATCATACAAGTGGCTTTACTGCCCTAAACTCTGCAGTGTAGAATTCACGGGGGGGGGGCACGGACGACTGGCTCTTTCTTTTGGCCATACTACTTGTAACTTCTGAGCATTCATAGAGTGTAAACCTAACATTTACAAATCAAAGTAGAAAATTCTTACATGGACACGCTTCGGCAGCACATATACTAAACTTACTTGAGTGAAGTGTCATTTCATCACAGGGTCTTTGCCCTCACATTGTAGTGGAGTAATAGGGATCTCTCAAACTGTCATCATCCCAACCTCTGTCAGCCTAAACTTGTGCCATGCATCTGTGTTTCAGCACTCAACTCTGATGAAGAATGGTCTTCCAGTCCCATCCTGCCTCACTGCCACCCAACAGTGGAGCAAAACAGAGACTGGTGTGGTGGTCTGGCTGGGTTGGAAAGAGCAGGTCAAACTGGGAGAAGGAGTCAGGTTCTTCATATGTACTGGAAGCAACAGCAGTAGCAGTCTGGCTACTGACCAACATCCAGTTCTGCAGTTTCTTCCACTTGCTGTTGTTGAATACTGCTCTCAGGCAGCAGATGTTGCTTTTTCATGTTCTCCTAGAACATTTGAAGAGAATGATGAGCTCCCATAATAAATCAGCTCCTCCACACCCAATAATTGAAGGCTTCAGAATTTCTATGACCAAAATCACTATTTTTTAAAGGAGCTTGTCCTTTTGACAACTCTAAATTTCAGTCACATAGAACAGTCACTTCAGTGCTGGTACCAGGTTTGTTGTCCAGACTCTGATCCTTTGGTTTACCTTCTCCATCTGGCTAGTAACCTGTCTTCAGACCAGGTATCTGTGTGTGCAAGGCTGTTAGATATAACTTTGTCTGCTAAAGTGAAACAGGATTCAGGAAAATCTGGCAAACTTAAAAACAGAAAAGTTACTTTAGTGTATCTTTATTGTTTTAACACATACAGAACAAACCTAAGAAACATACAAATACCAAATAGAAAAAAGAACCCTTCTCCGAGTTTACACAACAATAGAATGTAAGTATAGCAGAAAACCTATATCTTCTATGAATGCGTATCCAGCCATTCATAAAATCGTGACCAACTGTTTTGAAAAAGCCCATCCTCTTTTCCGTGCAGTTTCAATGTAAGATTGTCCCATTCAGCAATTTCCAGTATCTTAGTTAAATAGTCTTTGTAGGTTGGTACATCTTCCT